CTTGTTCTGTGCTTGTCTATGGGAATAGAGGTAAATAAGGAATAGTTTCTATGCTTAAAAGATTTGCTGGTAGGAAGAACAGTAAAATCTGATTATAGGAGAGAGCAAGATAGGGGAGGAAAGTAACATGTTGGATATTGATTTTGAATCAAATGTGGTACTATGTTACATTCATTATCTTATTCAAGCTTCATCATCTCCTTGGTATTGTCACTGCTTTCAAGGTGAGGCAGAGTGTAAATACAAATGGAGGCCCACCTACAGTAAGCTTGAATAGTAAAGGTTTTAAGTCTAGTTTATTTTCTTGCATTGACAATGATGTCTTCATAACAGTTTGGAAGGCAGGTTCAAATGCAGAATTCTCCTACAGCTCACCACCCCTTCTCACCTTAGGCAGGTTTGATGCTTCCACAAATAGTCACACTTTAGCCACCTCTGTGTCCTGGGGTATATACTCATCAGGAGAACAAGGAAGCAGGGGGAGCTGATGTAGGGGCCTCTGGAATGGGAACTTCAGAGTCAGAGCTGTGAACTCTAAGGAAAGACATGGGCTCTGGGTGTCAATTCAACCCAAGCAGGGCCCTCAGCCCAAGCAACCTCTCTTAGTCTTATATGTCTATAGGCAGAAAGCACTGTAGTGAGAATTGCATGGCTGTATGCACAGAGCAGAGCCTCCACTAGTTGGGGCAAGTGAGTTCACCCAGGAGTACACAAGTCATTAATGCTTAGGGATGAGGCTAGGAGACTGTCAGGACGATTTTTCTAGGAGCCATAGTGTATAAAAATCTTGAAAGGTGAATGAAATACCGGGCTGGAGGTAGAGGAAAGCATTGCCTTATGGCCAGGTCCTATGCTCAGGGGCTGAAGAGGTGGTAGACAAACGTTTGAGAGGGTTACAATCTTATTTGTAATACAGTGAAGAGAAATGAAGCTTCCAGCATTAATTGAAGGGTTAAGTGTCCTACAAAGACCAAAAAGGAGCATATGACATTTAGATATCAGATGTAAGGGAGAATTAGACAGCAAAAGTGGCTCGCTGACTGATAGAGCGAGGTAGAGTCATTTATAGAAATGGTGTCCAAGTTGAACACCAGTAGCTCAAACCTGTAACTCTAACTATTCAGAAAGCTGAGATCCATGGGCTGGAAAGGTGACTCAGTGGTAGAGAGCTTGCCTTGTATGCATGAGGCCCTAGGTTCGATTCTTTAGCACTACATAAGCAGAAAAAGCCGGAAGTGGCGCTGTGTCTTAATTGGTAGAGCACTAGTCTTGAGCTGAAGAGCTGAGGGACAGTGCCCAGGCCCAGAGTTCAGGACCCACTACTGACCAAAGAAAAAGAACGCTGAGATCCAGATTGCAGTTCAAGGCAGACCAGGCAGAAAAGTCCACAGATTCAATCTCCAAAAGTAACCAGTGAAAAGTCAGGATAGAGGCATGGCTCAACTGGTAGAGTACCTGCCAAGCAAGAGTCAAAGTACTGGATTGTAGATTAATATTAAGAATACTTGTAGAGGGAAAATGAGAAAATTATGACAGGATCTTAAAGAGAACTATTCAAGAAGAACAAAAATAGAGAGAGAGAGAGAGAACCTAAGCAGCAGAAGTTTCAAAGAAGCAAGGAGTCTGACCTGCAGGGTGGTCTATATACCATGGTAAGGTCAAGTTTGTGAAGGACCTTTCAACCGCTGCAAAGCCATTAACGGTGCTACAAAGGAGACCCCTGGATTTAGCTGTTGGAAGTTAGGGGGTGTGGAGATGAAAAGCCTTCTACACTACTTAAGGTTATTGAGAAACTGAAGGGAGAAAATACAAATATTCTTTTTTAAAGTTAACCTTGGTTTAAAAGAAGGAGAAAAATTTTACATTTTAAGGAAAAGGATCTGGAAAAAGGGATTTTTGATGATGATGGTTGTGGTGGTGATGATGATGATATGTAAACATACTACAATATCTCTAGCTGAAAGTTGGTAGAGACTGAAGATATGGGAATTTCTGTAGGACCACCCATGTTTTACCTTCTTGCCTCCGTAAGAAACAGATCTCACCGCTGTCTACCTTATGGCTAGCTGTGTGCAGCAAACATACCAGCTTATGACAGCAGTGACCTGAAGCCCAGCACTTCCACCCACCCTCTCAGGTGATTCTCACCACACAGCTTCAATGTCTTTTATCAGGAAGGTTTCCTCTGTCCTTCCCCAGCCTGGGCCTCCTCCTCCTCCTCCTCCTCTTCCTTCCCTGCCATTATTTCTCACCATAGCACTTGATCACTATCTGACACGATTTACTTATTGTGTTACAGTTGTACTTTCCCTAACAAAAGGTCAGCTCCAGTCCCTAGAATAGTATCCCACACATAGTAGAGGCTTAATATATACTTGTTGACTGATGTCCACCAAGGCAGAATTCCAAAGCAAGCATTGGCAAACTTTTTCCATGGCCAGCCAGATGGTAAATACTTTAAGTTTTGCTGGCCACTGATTTTCTCTGTCCCACATTATTATTATTATTTGCTTGTTGGTTTTTTAAATAGTCCTTTAAGAATTAAAAGGCAGTCTTAGTTGACAGGCCCCAGTGCCGAGTGCCCTTAGCTTGCTCACTGTGAAAATTATGGAAGCAGGATTCAGAATGCAGGTAAAGATGTTAGCGCCTAAAAAGGAAGGGGGTATGTCTCCCTTGGAAGCAGAAAGTGAGGGGAAAGAATGAAGGATAAAGGACAGACAAGTCAGAGAGCTCCTGTAGTAACTTTACCCTCTGAAGGCCAGAAGTAAGGTCTACAGGCAGATGTTTCCCAATAGAGTGGCTTGCCAAGTAGAGCTGAACAAGAAAACGGATAAGCAATGCTGTGTCCAGCCAAAGCTGGACCATGTCAGTCTGTGCACTGTGCTCTAAGACTAGAAGAACATGGGGACCTGAGAGCCTGGGAATTACTACATGCAAAAGCTGAAGAGCCCGGCTGCCAGAGTGAGGCCGACTGGCTCACAGTTTTATTTTTTACAAAATTACTTCTAGAAACAAATACGAAATCGTTTATAAAAGTTAATATCAACAATTTGCATTTGTTACAAGCCTAAGCTATTGATTAATGACTCATCTAGAGCCATTATCTCATTTAACTCTTTTAAGTAGGGACTAACATTATCTCTGACTTACAGATAAGAAAAATGAGGCTTAGGGCAGTTAGGAAAATTGCCCAAAGGCACTTAAAACTTTCAAGTGACAGCCACTGATGAGCCAAGCAGTCAGGCCGACCCCAGCCTTGCTTTTTCATCTGTTGCAATAGGGTACTGATTAATGAGCTGATACTAACAAGAAAAGAGGTTTCCAGTGACAATTACTGCTCTCACCCTGCCTTATTCTATCTATGTCCTCATAGGACATAGATAGTGTCTATATCAAATTTTACTGAAATGTGGAACCTGGAAGAATAGGGACCACAGATAACAGAATGAGAACCCAGAATTATCTCCAACTGGAATGTTTCACAAACATAACAGAGATAAGAATGCAATCCTTTATTGAAGTCCAAAAACAACTGTCCAGATGGGCCAGCTTTGCTGTGGATCCACGGGGAGGGAAGATGCTTGGACTGTAGCTTGTCCAGAGGGAAATAAAATGGAGAAGTTCCTTTGAAAAACATTTTAAGAAACTCAGTCTTAGAGGAAAAATATCCCTGATTGTTATGGGGCAAAGGAGACAGAAAACATTTGTGAACATTTACAGGTACTGTAGAAAGTAAATTAGTAGTCTTTGTAGTCAAAATTAGGGGTACAACATAGGCATTGTAGAGAGCCAGAATAAGAAATAACCATTCCCAAATAAAACTGTTCAAATTGTACTGGTTATATTGGAAATTAATGTGCCCTCTGTTGCTGGGCACATTACATATTGTAAACTGTTACCTATTCATAAAACAGTCTAGATAACCTGCCAACAAGAAGTTTTTGCCTCACAACAAAACACTTCTATACTATTTTTCAAGGATATAAACTTCTCAGCTTCTGTACTGATTTCACATTGATTTAGTTTACTGTTAGATATGCAGTAGAAGAAGCTGAACCCATGGCTCGTGCCTGTAATCCTAGCTACTCAGGAGGCTGAGAGCTAAGGATCATGGTTCAAGGCTAGCCCGGCCAGGAAAGGCCATGAAGCTCTTTTTTTTTGGGGGGGGGTCCGGTTGTGGGGCCTAAACTCTGGGCCTGGGCACTGTCCCTCAGCTCTTCAGCTCAAGGCTAGCGCTCTACCACTTGAGCCATAGTGCCACTTCCAGCTTTTTTTCTTTGTGCTTATGTGGTGCTAAGGAATCGAACTCAGGGCCTCATGCATGCAAGGCAAGCGCTCTATATCTGAGCCACTTTCCCAGCCCATCCAATAAACCACCAGAAAACCAGAAGTGGCACTTTGGCTCAAGTGGTACAGTGCTAGCCTTGAGCTGAAGAGTCAAGGGACAGTGCTCAGGCCCAGAGTTCAAGCCTCATGACCACCACCACCATATATATATATATATACACACACATACATATATATGTATATATATACATATTTATATATGTATTGTGGTTAGCATGCTGAGGTTAAACTTGGAATATTTTTTTGACAACAACATATATGTGTATAGAATCCTTGCCAGATACTGAATCGGTACTATGTTCCCAGCAATATTTCTTCTAAACTGCTCCAATGCTACAACTTTTAGTAGTGTTGCTAAACACTGCTGTTTTCTGTAAAGTGACAGTAATAAAGATGTGCCTGTAAAAGCTCAGTAATCTCTTCACAGATTAAATTCTAATAAACAAGATGAAGTTGTTTCAGAAATAACACAGTCTATTGACTTTGAGGCCACTGTTTTAGTTCTCAAGCATATATATATACGGACAAAATATTTCATCAAATATTATCACAAAGTTTTTATGACATGGATAAAATTTTCAGTTTTTGTCCTTTGAACAGCCTAATAAATACATATATCCTACTCATTGAAAACAAATATTCTTTTTTTTTAGGTGTAATCCCTTTTCATGGATTTTCCATGTATGGTAAGTTAGGCTTGAAAATATTCATTATTCTTATTATATTTTGGAAATTTAAACATAAAAATAACACTGCATTATCACATCGTCCACACATTTAACATTTTAAAGCATTGAGTTTATATTATAACATATCCTTTTTTAAAAAAATACTGAAAATAGTCATGAGAATTGTGTGGTTGAAGTTATCTTGGCAAACTAGAAATAGAACATACTATGAAAGTTGTAAACTTTACCATCTTCTATAGAATTACACATACTAATATTTAGCTCTAATAGTGTAAAGTCCAGTTACATGAATTCCTGAGCAATTCTCAAATGAGTCTTTTTAAAAAATAATATGTCAGAAAAAGTCTGAAGTGGGGGGCCTCACAGAGTTCAAGGTTGTGATTTCTCCAGACTGCGTATACAGTGTACACACAGCAGCCGTTACATGTGAGCACTGAGCGCCTCGGGCATGCGGGTGCAGGCGTGGAGTCAGAGTGTGGCAGACTTGCGTGTCGTCCAGTGAGGAATGGAGGAAGCCTAACAAAGCTAACAAGCGGAGGGATTCCCTGCACTGTAATGCCACGTAATTTTGAAGTTTTCATGTGTTCCGTCTAAACTTAATGTTGTCTCCTTTATTTCTACCCATTAACTTCAGAATACACAGGGATATTTTGTAACAGGAATCAGCAGTAAACTAAACTAATATTTGCCTTTATAAACTGTGTGTGCAGCATCAGACAGTCATGGTGAATGACCTAATAATACAACTTTAAAACTAGCGTGCAGTGAAAAGAATGCAAGGCACTTAGGGACTTTACCTGATGCTATCTTGATGCTATCAGTCACAGACTTGAATTACAGCATACTCTGTTCTCTTGAGCCATCAAAATTTCTTAATGAAACATACAACATGATAATGACTTCTAGCATAAGCAAAATCTAAAGTGGTTAAGAATATAAACTTCTACCCTAATAATAAAAATATTAGCTCTTGCAGAATACAGTGGCCCAAGCCTGTAATCCAAGCTACATGAGAAGTGGAGATTGGATGATCACAGTTTGAGGCCAACCCTGGCATAAAAGTTTATGAGAGTACATCTTAACCAATGCCTGTCAGCTCCAGCAGACACAGGGAACCACAAGAAAGAGGATCACAGCCCAGACAGACCAGGCAGAAACATAAAGCAAAGTCCTGCCTCAAAAATAACCAATCGTAAAAGGGGCTGGAGCATGGCAAAGCCATGAGATGAATCCCCAGCACCAAAAATAGAATAAAAAGGCCTTTTATCCTTTCAGTAATTCTAGCTGCGGGAATTGTTCAACTTACTTAATTTTTAAAATTTCTCAAATTGATTGAAGGCCTTGATTCTAAAAGCTATTATAATGCATCTTATATTTAATTCACCTGACCTTCAGAGTTAAAAGTGTTTGAAAAGTAGCTAGAATTCTTTGGGACACAAAGTAAAACAATCGTCCTTCTGAAGGCTAAGATAGGAGAACTTCAAGTTAAAGGCCAGCCTGGGTGATCTAATGAGAGCCCATCTCAGAATGAAAAAAGCAGAACGAATTGTCGAATTGTTAACTTGCTGATAGAGCTTCTTTTTTTTTTTAAAAAAAAAAAAAAAGATTTGACCACATGTAGCTCTTTGAAATTACTTGGAAGTTTTAGTATTCCCACATAATCCCCTTACATCATTCTTACTCTACTGTTAAGTTGGGAATATAGTATTTGTAACTTAACACTTCCTTTACAGTTTTTAACTACAGTTTTTAACTGAACTTTCTTACATGCATATATATATATATATATGTATGTATATATGTACACACACATACACACATATATCCTTTTCAAAATTAGAAAACAATGTATGGTTTGCAACCTGATTGACTGTGGTTACTATGTGATGTTTGTTTCCACGTTTGCTCTTCAGTATTCTCAGGAGCTGTTTTTCTTGCAGTTGCGCCACTCTGCTTTCTGTACCATGAACCTTACAAATTATATCAGATATTCCGAGAGATGTATGTTCGCTTTTTCTTCAGACTCCATTCCATCTCTTCTCATCCTTCTGTAAGTTCATAAAAAGTAATATCAACTCAAACTTGAGTCTGCTCTTTCTGTGAAGAAAAGCCTCCTCAAATTAAGAACAAACAAACATGTGATGGCATGCCTCCTTCAACTGAACTTACATTGTTTTCCTTGCCTACATTGTTTTCCTTGACAAAGATGTTACCCTGGCGTTGTACATGTGGCTTAACTAGTAAAGCACGAACCAATGAGTGAAAGCATCAGGTACCAAGTTCAAGTTCTGGTCTCCAGCAAAAATAAATAAAAACATGCTTCTCCTTATCTATGAAGTAAGGTCGGCACTCCATCACCTGAGTGCCATAAGGAAGTCTGTACAGCACCAGGTACTTCTCAGCTAGTGCTCAGCAAAGAAATGGCTGCTTTTGTTATTTCTTCTTTCATAATGAAAATCAGATTTGTCTTATTTGTCAGTTTCAGTTATTGTACTAGTATTAGCCTCACTCTGAGAGAGGGAAAAGCATAATTACTGACCGTGGAAAGGTTTGTTTTCTGCTCCCTCACCTCCTGAACTAACTGGAGGCAAGCAATGTTCACCTTGTCCACTTATGCTGCTCCCCTGTGGATCTGCTTAGTTCTGCTTGTGGGTAACTGGGCAGCCTCTCCATGAAAAATATTCCTTTGGAATGTACATTAAGCCTACCAAACTACTCTGAAGAAAAGATCATGTTACTGCTACTAAATCAAATAGCTAGGTTTTTGTCCCCCAAGTTTAAGACTATGTATTCCTACCCAGCCAGTATCCTTGTCTCCAGTTCTGCTCTCTAATAGTGCTTGTGAATGTTAGCAAACAACAGAATTCCAAGATGGCACAGATAAACATTCAGAGCACTGACAAGTGAATTTGATTTAGTTTTCGTACAAATAATATTCTATCTTCTAACAGTTCACAGTATCATATTTTACCTTCCTACTGTACATCTTGGATGCTTCAGAATTTTAAAGCAAAAGAAAAACCTGTTACATAATGCACGCCCCTCATAGTTTTCCAGGGTGCTACACTGAAGCCTGATGAGGAGAAACTTGGGATCTCTCTTCTGTATCTTACAGCTAGCCCTGAGGTGTCCATTTTCAGCTAATTGGTTGGGCCAGCCCTGCCTCTACCCTTTCTTTATTAGCAGAATAAAGACAGGAGGTTGCCTCCTTACCTGGCTTGCAACCAGAGTGAACCCTGTAGAGCCTTAACAGCCTGATTTCCTTAGAAATGCACAAAGAAGATTGAAACTTCCTTACTGGGATCAACCCCAGGGAATCCTGACTTATAAGAAAGACTTTATTAGAAGTTGTCAAGTTATAAACACACTTGGAAAAAAAAAAATCTGCTTAAATTGATGTCTGATTTTTTTATACAATATCCATTTTAAGAAGTAGATCTACCAAGCAAGCAAACAAAGCAATCAGACATTCTGGTTTTATAATTTTCTGATGCAAATTTCAAGCAGTCAGCAAGCAGGACTTTTCCTATACAGATTTGAAAGAAAGAATGAGAAGAACAGGAAGTATTTTCCCCAAAGGGTAAGTGTAGAGGGGAAAGCACTTATGGGGACAGAGTAAACAAAGCTCCTGCAGTGCTGGGGAAATACCTGGAAATTGGCATGCATCAAGAAAGTAGCAGGTTTTCTGTAAAATAATGTTAGCCTTCGACTCCCCAGCTGTTACCTAGGGATGTACATGGGCACTGATTGTGGTTAAAAAGTGACTCAGCAGATCCCTAAGTGTGACCGTTCATAAAGAAAGATAAAATACAGTGTGAATATTCATATTCTATATGAGTAAGTTGCTGGCATACTTAACATCTGAACATTAAATTATTTGTCTTTGATTGTAACCAGGGCATTGTATCCCTCTGCTTGCTGTTTGAAACCCTTCTTCAAACATATCTCCCCCAACTCTTTTATCATCTGCGGGAAATTGGGGCTCAGCCGTGAGTATTTTTCTCTCTCTGCAGCAAGTTTGTTACCATGGTGAAATTTAAATACAGAAAGCTCTTTTATCATTATGGCAAATTACATATGGAGATGTAGTAATTCTTTGGGGAAATTAAACCAGCAATTTTCCCAATAAAACAGTAATTATAAAATAGTAAAATTGTGACTATCCTGTGCAGAAATTTCCTGGAAGAGAGCTGGAAACATAACTCCATGGCAGAGTGCTTGCCTACCATGTGTGAGGTGCTGGGTTCATTCAGTCCTGAGCAGGAGGAGGAGAAAATTCGTGGAAGAATTACCAGTGTCCTAATCAAAGTCTTGTGTCCTAAGATTTTTGTGTCTGGTACAAAAATCACCAAATTGAACTAATTTCTATTCATAATGAGCATATTATCCAAAACGGAGACAAATATTTGTTTGAAGAAAACAAATTCAACCTGAGAAAGTCAGTGTAGATTAATATGAAAGGACAACTTACAAAAACGATATAGGTTAATGTTTGCTGTCTCTTGTTAAAGGAAGTAAGACCAGCGATGGTCCTGGTCCTGTGAGTTCTCCTTCTGAAAGTTGAAGCTTCATTCGTGGTGACAGTATGTGACTATATTTAGTGGTTCTGGATATCAGTAATGTTGGTTCCCTTCCCTCCTCCCCCCTTTCCTTCCTTCCTTTCTCCCCCTTCCTTCCTTCCCCCACCCCTTCCTTCTTTCCTTCCTTCCTTTATTGCCAGTCCTAGGGCTTGAACTCAGGGCCTGGTCTCTGGGCACCACTTCTGTTTTTTCTGAGTACCTTTTTGGAGATAAGAGTCTTAGGACTTTCCTGCCCAGGCTGTCTTGGAACCACAACACTCAGATCTGTCTCCTGAGAAGCTAGGATTATAGGCGTTAGCCACCTATGCCTGGTGGCAATGGAAACTTCCAAGTGATTTTATCAACATTCTGAGCCTTTCTTCTCTGAGCAACTATGTTCACTATTAAGGCGAATATATATGAAATTTCAGGGATAGCCTGTTTCTGGTCTCACTGCTCACTCTTCTCAGTGGCCTTTACTTCCTCTTTGTTAAATAAACTCTTAAAAAAAAAAGAAATTGCTTTAATCTTTTGAGGCCACAGAAGAATTAATGAAAAATAGAATGCTTATCTTCTCCATACTCCACTCCCAGCCGATGAGATGGCTGGCTAGTCATAAATTCAACCCAGGTTCAAATTCTGTTCTGTACAATCCTGGTAAAGTTATTTAATTTGTGCTGTAATTTCATTCCCTCCCTCCCTCCCTCTCCCCTTTTCTTCTTCCCTCCCTCCTTCTTGTCCTCCCTTCCTTCTTCCCTTTCTTCCTTCTGTGTTTTGTCTCTGACACACTGGGATGTGACTAAGCACTGGCCTATCCAGGCAAGCTCTCTGCCCCTGGAGCCATGACTCCAGCCCTTTACTGTTCACATGGTTTCAAATGAAGTGTCTTGCTTTTTGTCCCTGGTTCTATGCCTGGCATGCTTCATTTTTAATCAAGATAATTTGATTTTTTTTTCATCTTAAGAAGATGAAAATTGCTGCCTCACAGAGTTGTTTCAAGGTGAAAGGGTTGTAAGAAAACAGAAAATAAGAGTGGCATGTGTGTATGTACACACATGCACACTATATCTCTTCTGTGTAAAGCGCCAGTGGGTTTCAGAAAGATTAGAAATGTTGTCTGTAAAACTACTTCATATTGTCCATTAATTCTCTTTCCTTTGTTGCCGTTAAAAGAGTGTTCTGTTCCTGGTAGGAGGAATGTGGCAGAAATATGTTATAGTAAGCCCAAGTCTTTATTCCTTAAACTTGATAGTAAACTGGACTTGTTTTCTACTATTATAACTGAACTACATGAGCTAATAACTAGTCTTTTAAAAAAGAAAACTAGGTTGAATGTATTTGGTTCATTGTTAGAAATAAGATTCTGGTAGTGATTTCTAAGGTACAAATTTATTTAAGTGACTTATGATTGGAACAATTTTATTTCAGAGATTTAAAATTATTTTTCAGGAGCCTATGGCTCATCCTGTAATCCCAGCTACACTGGAGGCTGAGATCTAAAAGTCTCAGTTCAAAACTTGCCCAAACAGGAAAGTCTGTGAGATTCTTATCTCCAGTTAACTACCAAAAACAACTGCAGCACAAAGTGGTAAAGCGCTAGCCTTGAGTGAAAAAATTCAGGGACAGTGCTCAGGACCAGCATCAAAAAACAACAACAAGAAGAAAACATAAAATTCTTAGAAAATTTTAGAACAGGTCCAGTGAACCTATGTGTAAATTATTGCATAGTGTGTGCATTTATATAAATTATCACATAGTATGTGCATGTATGTAACTTTTACAAAGAAACCCTCTAATATTACAAATATGTATTAAATAAAAATTTAAGTAAATTCTGATTATCAAGGTAGAAATAATTTTGTTGTTGTTAATTTTGTCCTTATTTCGAAGGGTTTCTAACCTAAGTGGGGGAGGGGGAGTCCAGGATACAGAATAATTCCTCTGAATTATGTAAGATCACTGATTGTACTTTTACAGCTTAGAAGAAGGAACTTCAACTTTAAATGACCAACGGACTTCTAAGACCTTTGAAGGAGCTATGTTAACAATAGAATGGATTGGGTTTTCTGATACTGTCTTTTTGTAAAAAGTAAAATCCATTGGTAAACTTAATTTTTACTTTGTCTACAGACTTCGCATATCATTTAAGTGGATGGTTCGAGCTTTCTCTGGATACTTAGCTACAGACCAACTCTTGCTCTTGTGGGATCGAATCCTAGGATACAATTCTCTGGAAATTCTTGCTGGTAAGACTTAAGTGCTTGTTTGTGAGGTCCATGTTTGTAAAGGTCCCTGTTCTTCCTAACTTCCTATTGGCTCCCAGGAAAGACCACAGTTTCCTCTTTGCCCCTCTTCTTTTCAGCTAATCAGGGCTTATACCTTCCATGACCTGTGAGGCCCAACAGCACAGTACAGATACACTTCCTTCTACCCTGGCCCTGCCCATCTCCCTTCCCTTCTGCTCTGTGCCCCTTCTCAGCCACTCCACAGTCCAGACTGGCACTGGGTATCCTGAAAAGCACAGTCCCAGTTCTTCTGGACCTCAGTTTATACTGGACTTGAAACCTTTTCTTTTTTTGCCAAAAGTCTTTGATTTCTGCTCTGCTGGTTAAAATTTTCCTTTGAGGTATTCTCTTATGCCAATTTTTAAAAAAAAATTCATGAAACCATAGATTCATGTGTATTTAATAGTTTAGCCATTTATATAACATGTATGTACAAAGGCAATTGTATAACAGCATACAAGACATATATTTCTTACTAATTATATTGTTTCCCTGATGTACATTAATAGTCTCTGTTACTTTTATCATTGGGACTACTAGAATATTCAAATGATAATTAGATTTTTACAATAGATGGAGAACAGAGAACTTGAAAAGAATATTTTTGTGCTTAAACCTTAGGCCTGGATAGTGAGCTCAAGGCTGGCACTCAGTTACTTGAGTCACAGCTCCATTTCTGGCTTTTTGGTTAACTGGAGACAAGTCTCACAGACTTTCCTACCCATGTTAGTTTTAACACAACCCACAAATCTCAGCCTCCTGAGAAGCTAGGATTACAGGTGTGAGCCACCTGGCCTGTCAACATTTTTTTTTTTTTTACTTTCTCATCCCTACCTTGTCCCAACATCTCTTATTTTCAAGACTGAGGTTCTGCTACCATTTCTTAAATTATAATAGTTTGGACTTTTCACCAAATAACTCTCCTCTGGGTTTGCCAGAAACTTATAAGAGCGTCATATATGACATTTGTTATCATTTCAAAAATATATTCAATAATGCTTCCAGTGCCAGTGGCTCACACCTGTAATCCAAGCAGGAAAGTGCATGAGACTCTTATCCTCTATCACCAAAAAGCCGGAAATGGAGCTGTGGTTCAAGTGGTACAGCATAAGCCTTGAGCAAAAAAGCTCAGGTATAGTGTCCAGGCCCTGAATTCAAGGCCCAGGACACACACACAAACACACACACACAGACACACACACACACACACACACACACAGACACACACACACACACACACACACACACACACACACGGTACAGCATAAGCCTTGAGCTAAAAAGCTCAGGTATAGTACCCAGGCCCTGAGTTCAAGGCCCAGGACCAACACACACACACGGAAAATCTCACTTTGAGAGAACTTATAGTCAATGTGGGTATATAGTTTGTTAGATAAGATTCAGTTGAATATAGCCTCAAAATACAGATCCTTTCTCTTGTTCTGCAGAAGGGCTGAGCAGACTAAGCATGAAGCAAACAGAGAGGAACTTGTGTGATGTGATACCAAGATGAATAAAGGTTATGAGCACATAGTATTTTGAATGCTGAGTGTACTTGTTTTGTCCCACCTCTTATCTACCTTTAGAAAAGCAGCTTCCTGCAATGCAGAACTCTTTCCCACTACAACAGAAGCTTCTTCAAGCTTCTGGTTCAATTATACTCAAGAAGAAAACAGGGATATTCTGTTCCTTAGCTCTAAAATGTCTTCTCTGTCTAAAATATGGCTGCAGTTAGTGGGAAACTATAAAGAATTGCTGGCCCCCAGAAAGAAAGGGTTTTCTTTGCTACTCTGGTAGTCGTGCAAGTCTATAACTTCATAGCACTTGTCTTCTTTGCAGTTAACAAAAAAATTCTTTGACCCAGATTTTGTGGGGGGGGAGGGGGGGTAAGGGCTTGGACTCGGGCTGGGTGCTGTCCCTGAGCTTTATTTTTTTTTTATTGTGAAAATACTGTACAGAGGGGTTACAGTTACATGAGCAAGATAATGAGTGCATTTCTTATCAAGTATTGTATCCTCCTCCTTTGTTTCCCCTTCCCATCCCATCCTCCCCCCGCCTCCCTACCCAACCCTTCTCTCCCCACTACCAAAGTTGTAAAGTTCATTTTCGACATAACAACTTGTACGTCTCATTTACTCAAGACTAGTACTACCACTTTGAGCCACAGTGCCACTTCTGGTTTTCTGGTGATTAATTGGAGATAAGCATCTCAGATCTCAGCCTCCTGAGCAGCTAGGATTACAGGCGTGGCACCCAGTTTGACCTGGATTTCTTGTATCCCTTGTTATCACTGAATAATCCCAGCCAACTCAATTTTTGTTCCATCTTTTTTAATTAGTATAAATTGTATAAGGGGTTCCATTATATCTCCATGCACTCGTGGAGATGCTTCAGTTAGATTAATGAAATTTTGTTCTGCCATTACCCTCTTTTGTATGTAGATGCCAGCTCTGGGGCTTGAACTCCCATACCTGACTGGCACTTGATTTTTTTGCTCAAGGCTGGTGCTATACTATGTTAGCTGCACCTCCACTTCTGGCATTTTACTGGTTAATTAGAGATTAAAAAAAAAATCTCGTGGACTTTTCTGCCTAGACTGGCTTCAAATGATGATCATCAGATCTCAGTTTCCTGAGTGGCTATGACTATAGCATTTGGCTGTAATGTTATTTTATTTTATAGTTATTTGTTCTAGTTAATAGGGCTTGGACCCAGGGCCTCAGGCTCCACTTAGCTTTTTCATTCCAGGTTGGTGTTCTACCACTTGAACCATACCTCCACTTTCTCCCCTTTTTTCCCTCCAGATTCTCCTTCCTGGTTCTAAGGCTTTCTGACAAATTGTCCTAAATCTTTTGTCCCCTGGAAAAGTGCCCAGGCTTTCCCTGTCTGGAAAGTTAAGAAGCCTGGCTCCTGACTTTCACTCCTACACACAACCACCCACCCACCCACTGTCCAGTCAGGGCGGAGGATTGCCACACCTCACCCTCATGCCTTCTCCGCAGAAGCCCCTGACGGGCAGCAGACAAGTCCTCCCTAAACTAGCACATGGATTTCCATGCCAGGATGAGAGTCCTTACTGCCTGGCGCTGCATGGTGGCCAGGTGACAAGCTTTTGGCCAGGGTTAAGTATCCACTCTGCCACTTTTTACCAATGTGGCCCTGAACATGCCACTAATTCACTGTGCCTCAGTTTCTGTGTTAGTGAAGTGGACTAACAATATTTCTTAACTCCACAGTCGTGTGGAAATGAACTTCTATTATTAATCTCACAGTAAAAGTGTATTTTTTGAATTCTGTGTTTTCACTACCTATGCAATATCTCTAGGAAAAAAATCTTCTAAATAACCTGAATATTTACTACCATAGTTTTCCAAACATCGGTGATTTGCTGCGTGAAGAATGTACTAGCAATGCTGGTGATGACAGTGGGGGCGGGAGGGAGGGGTCTGCTGTCGCCTCAGGCCGCACCCACTCCACCCAGTATTGCCAGCTCTTACGTGGGTTATTGTGTGGCTCCAGAGTCACTCATTCTGCTGCTTGGGTTAATGGTAGCTTCTACGTATTGTGTGTTAGTATGACTCTTTCCTTCCTTTGTTATTTCCCTCCCTCCCACCCTCCCTCCCTCCTCCCCTCCCTCCCTCCCTTCCTTCTTTCCAGTGGCCACTGACAATATATGGAGGTTTTTGTTCAGTAGGATTTTTCCCTCCCTCCCTCCCTCCTCCCCTCCCTCCCTCCCTTCCTTCTTTCCAGTGGCCACTGACAATATATGGAGGTTTTTGTTCAGTAGGATTTTTATTATAATATTTTAAATATTTGTTGTTGTTGTTGGCCGTGGGGCTTGAACTCTGGACCTGAGTGCTGTCCCTGAACTCTTCAGCTCAAGGCTAACACTTTACCACTTGAACCACAACGCCACTTCCGTAATATTTAAGTAATGTAAGAGGAGTTTGAATTCAGCCAATCAGTTTGTAACCACAGTCACAGAGATGATACTTTTCAAAGCCCTGGCTTTCCCTGTCCCCCGCCCTGTGGGATTCAGTGTGGGCAGCACACTGTGGGAAGGCAGGCGCCCTCCCGGGCGGGCGCAGACAGTTTCCACGCATCACAGACGTGATTGCGAGTGTGGAGGCAGCTGTGCAGGGCACTGCGCTGAGCCGTCCTTGTGGCTTGTGGCAGCCGCCGGGTGGCAGAGATGCCAGCAGTTGACACGGTATGCATTCTCTTCCAGTCCTGGCAGCTGCCGTGTTTGCTTTCCGAGCAGTGAACCTGATGGAGGTGACATCACTGGCCGCAGCCGAGGTGAGGATATGTTTCGCTCCGTGGGATGGAAAACGCTCCTGCGACACTGCCAGGCCCAGGCGTGTCACCGTCCCATGCAGAAGCGCACACAGTACTGGTAGCTGAACTCTGTAACTTGGGGAAAGCCTGTAAATTCTCAGCTCTGTACTATTCAGGACTCACATTTCCCAAATCACTTGGAAACAACCCTTCTTATGAGTGGGTCATAAACAGGATTATTGTAGGAAGCCACCATAGCCATTCTAGGAAACTAGATACCTGCTCATTTTAATAGGAACTATTGGGTTTGTTACATGTCCTTATTATTCTCATGTTCATTTGTCAAACTCACAGAACAGAGAAGAAGTCAATGAAGTGCTTAAAGAGGCTGTGTTTAGATGACAGTACAAACGCATAGGCTTTTTGAGGTTATTTTAAACTGCCAGTCAGTTATATAATACTGGTTGCTTTTCAGTGATGTAACTTATATCTGGAATACGGTTCAATTAAACAGTGCTTGACATATTTCTCTTACTTGTTCTCTTAAAGAAATGCACATTTTATCCTCAAAATAGCTGCCCTCATGCTTTGTTTAAAGGGAAAAGGATGTTTATGTATCTTGTGACTGGATAGACATTATTTCTCACTCAAATGATTTCCTGCAATCACATACTCCCTACACTAAGATAACAGCTTGGGGATTCATAGTGTATGATTATTTATAGAAGCAAGTTGAAATTGTAGACCTCGTATAAACTCCTGCTACTTGTATATTTGAAGAAGGCTCAAGGCTAAGGCACAGGTTATTTTCCACTGCACATTTTAGTTTTTTGAGCACCAACTCTCAGAGCTTCAGGAGAGAGAAGGAAAGCTGTAGCTTGGGTACAGAGAGTTAGATGAATCTGTAGAATCTAAAAATGTGTTCATAGCCAAATTACATTGCTATAGTACTCCTGTTAGGCCTTATCAGACTTGATTGGGTGTTAACCATTCTTTTGTGTTTTTATTTCAGGCAGTTCTTGCTGACCTTTCTACATTAAAAGTTATGCCTCTTCTTCAAATTTTTCTGTTTGCTACTGTCACCTGATCTTCTTCAAGGTCACTGACAACACAGCTAGTTTTTCATTAGAAACTAATCATGAACTATGCAAACTCTGCATAAAACCAAAATTAAACTTCGCATATAAGCCAATAAAGATCATGTTCCCGCCTCAGTTAGAGCTAAGTAGTTTTTCTGAAACAATAACTCTACACACCAAAAATTTCATTGCATGCCACTGACTGATTGTCAAGAGAGAAGCAATACACACAACTTCTGCTAAGTTGAGCACACTGTATATACAATTCTGACTTGTAAAAGGCATGTAACAAGATATGCACCAAGCACTGAAGACACGGTAATACATTTCAAGAGGTAATGGAGCTTGTGGGACAGTTTTTTTTGTTAGTCTGTAACTTTACCCTACATGGGTATTGTTTTCATCTTACAAATTGTTCTGCACTCAGATCCAGGCATGGGATAAAAGGTGAGAAGACTTGAGCAAGATAATGTCTTTAGTAAAATTGAAAAATGTTGTTTTTATAAATTTGTCACGTGCTAGGGATTTTTCTAGATTCCCTTACCATTTTATTTCTCCTTGAGCATTTCTACCGGAGAATGTCAAACAAAATCCATCCGATGTGAAGACTATTAGTCTTCATGCTGAGCAAGTCAGAGAAGTCTAGAGAGCCTTTGCACTTCTCAGTCTCTTGCTTAGAAGCCTCAACTCAAGATCTGTGGCCACATTCTGTTTTCTTGGAAAAATAAAAGGAGACCTGCTGGGAGGGCGGGGGCGGGTGCATGAAGGGAATGGAGACCCAGAACACACCCACCTACTGAGTTTGGTTTCACAGGATTGAGTCTGGGGCAAAGACAGTTGTTCTAGAACTGAAGACATTATGGAACGCCTCAGGTCTTCTTTTGGCCTTTATTGTAAGTGGTCTTATTTTATAAAAGTAATATGTGAAAAAAAATCCCATACCTATCTTTTCATTTTAAAATCAAATTCAGGATGCTGATTGCTTCAGATATTATGGGTTGCCTAGAAGTTTGCAGAGTTCCATCCAAATGTACGTCATGAATTTTTTTTTATTTTAGTTTGTTTGTGAAGCTAGGATTTGAACTTAGGGCCTTATTCTTGCTAGGCAAGTTTTTGAGCACGTGACCCATGCCCTTAGCCCTTTCTTTGCTTTAGTTTATTTTTTAGCTTCAATATCACTTTTGCCTGCAGCTGGCCTCCAAAGTAACTGGGATTACATGCACCCCACGTCTGCTTTGTTCTTTGAGATGGGGTCTCAGCTTAAAGCAGTGATCCTCCCTATCTACCCTCCCACCTAGGTGGGAAGACGCCCCACAGGCCTGGGCCCCACACCCAGCCCAGGAATCTTTTTTTTGACAGCACATGTTAGAAATTACATGAAATGTAGCACAAGTGAAGTTAATTTGAAGGTGCATATTATATACTCCTGTGCAGGTACTTCATTAGTTCTGTGATTCGTTCTTTGTAAATCACTGCTTTGGAAGGTAATAAATTCACCATCCTGTGCTTTGCCATTGTGTGTGTGCACACAGAGAGGCTGCTGGCCCTTCCTCCCTCACCCCAGGAAATGGGGACTGTTTTGGCTTCTTCTTCATAATAGTTGAACTTACTAAAAAGAGGGAATGCAGTGGTGTAGATTGGAGGATTCTGACCTTAGCTGTCAGTCCCTAAGTAATTCAGCCTCTGTGTCTGCACGGGAACAGGGTGGAAACAGTCATCAGCAGGAATTATTGCATCTGCCCTGTTCATCTCACAGCATTGTGTAGCACCACAAAGAAAATATACTTGAAAGTGGTTTTTTATTTTAAAAAAAATTGGCAAAGCATCAAGCTTTGCAAATAGAAGACAAGTGTTAGTCGATAAGGTACTAGTAATTTGTATATGCCGTTTAAAGGTCAAATATGTTCAGCTTCATTAGCATTTGTTATTTTTCTAGATCATTTGTCAATTTTTTTAACAAGTGAACCATACTTAGCAGATCCTTTCATTTGATGCGGGTAGCTCTAGGCAGTAGTTGTAAATCTCAGTTCCCAAGACAGACTTTGTGGGTAACTGCATGACTTGTGCTGACGCAGTGTTATGCCATGTGCTGCTCTTAGCTGCAGTGAAGACATTGTATCAAGCACAACCAGGCTGCCTCATCTCACCACACCTCCCACACGACTTCACCTGCCTCCTTCCCCCTCCCCCCCCTTGTCACCTTCCACTGCTGTTCTCCCCTGCCAGTCACTGCCACCCTTTCAGATCTGCTCTGCTTATGATTGCAGGATCTGCCTGTCTGGCCACTGAGAGCAGCACATTGGCACTGGTGGTAAGGTAGCCTAAGAGGCAAGTTGTGTTTGACTCTCCCGGGTTTCACTTCACCCACCAGTGTAATATGTGAAGTCTGACCTCACACTGACAATGCAGTGTTCTGTTCATTTCAGTTCCCAAAGTTGGCTGTGTTCTCTTATTTCACAGGGAAAATAGAGGGCATCACCCTCAGTCCTTTTAGCCTTCTACTTGAGAGCATAGCTTCATCCCCATTCTTAATTTCCCCCTGTCACGGAGTAGATTTTCCTATAGTTCTCTAAGCGCTGGCTGCGCGTGTGTCCTGTGCCCCTGGCTCTGCAGCACAGGAATGATTCTCCACGGGTTGGTCTTGCTGCTTCCGTGCCCCCGACACTGACCCAGCATCCTGGACTCTAGCCGCCCCAGGCTGCCGGCTGCTCCTCAGCCGCCCTGGGTGCTCACCCCATCTCCATGTTCCAAGATTCCATTCAGAACTCTGTTCTCCTAAAACCTCGTGCTCTCCTTTGGTGCTCAGAAGATTAAGCAGTAGCCGTCACAGGAGGTTCCTGGTTGACTTGGGTTAGGGGTGGGAGATGCAAGAGGAAATTTGTCCGCATGTCCCCTGGCTTTGGGAATGTTCTTTCTCTTCCACTTAATGCGCACTCCTCCTCAGTACCTGGCTTGCTGGAATATTTCTTTGGAACTCTAATCCATAATCACCCTGCACTCCTCCAGCTACAGAAACTGGAGGGATCTGGGGAGGTCAGCCATCTGTGAGAGCCAAGGGAACTTAATCACAACACTTTGGTTTACTCCTTCATGAAAAGCAAGGATAAAACAGAAAAGATGCAGCCTGTGCAGCAATGCAGAGCTGGGAGTGTGGCTGAGTGGTAGAGTGCTCATCTCCTGAGTGTGAGGCCTTGAGTTCAAATCCCAGTACTTACCATCTTCTCTGAATGAGGGAGTGAAAAGCTGCTCTTTGTCCCTTTTGATCTTCAGGTCATACTCCACCAGGCTTTCTCTGAACCATGCTGACGTTAGCCCAAGAATCTTTACAAGAGAAAGGATTCTAACATGACAGTAATTCTTTTCCTCTCAGTGCACTCTGGTATGGGTATCATTGGTAAAGAGCTCAGGTCTACAACTGTTCACACTATGGTAGCATTAAAAAAAAAAAAAAACTACTTTCAACCAAGACACCGCCATACTTTAGAAGGGAAGTTCCATGTCTTGTATACCTGTAAGCCACCTGGAGTAGCTCACCCAGGGGTATCTTTTGCTTTTGGCCCTTGGTCTGTACAGCTACCTCTGCTCAGAATGCCTCCTCTTGTCTATTTGTTGAACTCTAACTTGTTCCCTTTTAAAACCCGGCTCAGGTGTAGCAACATCAGGGAAGAGTACACCTCTCCCTCTAACTTATACATGTGCTTTATCGCAGTCCTGTGTTCGCTGGCCTTTCTAGATGGGTAGACTGTGGTTTCTTGAGGACAAAAATGGCTTCATTACAGCTTTGCATCTTTAGAAACTAGTGTAATGCCCGGCCCATAGTGAGCTTCATGCGTGCGTATAGAATGCACTCATTCCAGTCAAGGTCACTCGATTCACTGGTGGAAGAACTCCCTTATGCAGAGTCGTAGCTTGCTTTCCCTGTATCGCACAGTTGAGAAGTTCTCTGTAGATGTCCAAAGAAGAAGTTAATAAGAAAAGACATGCAAATGCTTCATTCGGTTTTGTGCTTAAGTCTACTTTATTATGGTATACTTGATACACAATAAAAATGGCATGTTTTATGTAAAGTGAAATTTAAAGTTCTGTAGTGTTTGGCAAATGTGCATCACCATGTCACCACAACCATTGCAGTCAAGATATTAGAATATTTCTGTCAACAGACAGTTCCCTTTGTACCCTTCCCACTCAATCCCATTCACACATTCATTCCAAACACGGATCTGCTTCTAGCTGAAGATTAGATTTTTCTAGAATTTCACCATGTGCACTGTCTTGTTACACCATGTGTACCTGCCTTGTTTTACTCAGAGTAATGTGGTCTATAGTCATTCCTTGTCACTGCTGAACATGAGTCTTCATATGGACAGATGTGTTCTTTTCTCTGAGGATCATCACACTGTGATATGTACCTATGTGTTTTAACTTTTAAGAAAGTTTCCCAGTTCTTTTCTGCAGTGGTTCTACCAGTTTACATTCCCACCAACGTTATATAAGAGTTCCAGTTGCTGCAGATCCTTACCAACACTTGGTTAGTATCCCATTCATAATGCCAGTAGTTTACATTTGCATTTCCTAATTACTGATGTTGCTAACCTTATACTGTATTTATCTATAATGTATTCTTTAAAATTGTTCAAATCTTGCTGGGCGCCCTGTAATCCTAGCTGCTCAGGAGGCTGAGATCTGAGGATCGTGATTCAAAGCCAGCCTGGGCAGGAAGGGCCATGAGCTCTTATCTCCACTAAACCACTCAGGAAATCGGAAGTGGCGCTGTGGCTCAAGTGGTAGAGCGCTCGCCTTGAGCTGAAGAGCTGAGGGACAGTACCCAGGCCCAAAGTTCAAGCCCCACAACCAACAAAAAAAAATGTTCAAATGTTTTGAGCATTTTTAATCATTATTAAGCTGAAAGAATATATTCCAAATACACTAGTAGTTTGACTTTTTTTCTCCTGAATTAAGTAGCTTTTAAAGAGGAACAGTTTTAAATTTTTTTGAGATCCATATAGCTCATTTTTCTTTTATGGATGTATTTTTTGTGTCTTCTCTGAAATCTTTGCATAGCCCAAGGTTACAAACATAGGTTTGTGTTTACATACATACATAAATACTCACGTACATACATATTGGCACTGGTGGTGAAGTAGTCTAAGGCAAACTGCATTTGGCTCTTCTGGATTTTACTTTGTCCACCAAATTTTTTGGCGGTACTAGTGTTTGAACTCAGGGTCTCACATTTGGTAGGCTGGCACTTTACCACTTAGGCAGTGTCCCTAACCCCATGATCCATTTTGTTGTTATTGTTGTTAGTTATTTTAAGGTGTGTATGTGTGTGTGTGTCTGTATGGTACAAGTTAAGAGCTGAGCTTTGCAGTTTTGTACAGGATGTCCACAATTTGCCTAAGATAGTCAGCACCTTTGACATAAATTCAATTACTTTCTACTTTGTTCTGTGGCTTTGTCTTTCCTGTTGCAATACCACACTGCCCTAATTTTTGTAGCTTTAAAGTATTGTCTTGAAACTGCGTTGTATGAATTCTGCCTTGGTTCAGTTCAGACTTGTTTTGACTACCCTTCTGTGCATTTCCATATAACTTTTAGAATCAGCT